CGCCCCTTCCGCGGGCTCGCCCACGACGGGGTGGCAAGGTGTGGGAGGTTACGTGTGCTGTCGCCCGTTGTATGGCGCGGTGCCACCAGAAGTGTTTTTTATTGGACATCCTAAGGGGGGGGGCTCTTGTTTTCTGTGAGCACCCCGCTCAAGTCTTCTCCTCTCCCTCTTCCCTTCCCCCTTCGCACAATCGTGCAGTCAATCGCTCGCATCATCATCATCATCAGCATCATCATCATCATCGTCATCGTCGTCGTCGTCGACGTCGACGTCGACGTCGACGTCAGCATCATCACCATCACAGTATCACCATCCTCACCATCACTCACGCAATCAAAATCATCACCATCATCATCAGCATCAACATCATCATCATCGTCGCCATCATCATCATCATCATCATCATCATCATCATTATCATCATCATCACCAGTATCATCATCATCACCATCGTCATAGTCGTCATCATCATCATCATGTCCAGCATGATTATAATCGTCATAGGTATCATCATCATGCTCCTCCTCATCTTCATCATCATAATACTAATCAATCGCTTAATCACTCCCACTGTCGTCACCAGCCATACTCTCACACCCTCAGCCCAACATCGTCATCATCATCATGATGCACATCTTGCTCACCATCGCCATCTCGTCATCATCGTCACCGCTTTCACAGCATCATCCTAAGAACCAGCCTCAGCGCAGGCACACACATACGCCTATCCCAAGGAAGTCTCGGGCAGGGGCCTCGTCTGTGAGTGCATTGCGAGGAAGTCTCAAGCGGGAGCCCCCTTCCTATGTGGCCCGCACCTCACGTTACCTTGTCGTTGTGCTCTGTGGCCTCTTCAAGCTTGGGTATGGAGGAGGTCGCAGGCAGGAGCCTCGTCTGTGAGAATGTTGCAGGGACGTCCCAGGCGGGAGCTCCCTCCCCACGGGGCCCGCCGCCCGGGCTGCTCGTCCGAGCTGGTCATCGGAATCCTGCGAGGGTCGTCGTGTTGGGTTCCTTCCTTCAAGCTTGAGTGTGGAGGACGTCTCAGGCAGGGCCTTGAATTGCGAGCAAGCTTCGGGCGGGAGCGTCTTACATGCGGGGAGCCAGCTTTGGCGCGCTCGCGCTCGCGCCCAGAAAAGGGCGTCCATCCCCTGCTGGCCTGTCGGGGGCACTGACGGGCCACTCCGACAGGCCACTCCCTCGGCTATCTGAGGAGGAGGAGGAGGAATCCAGGAGGAGCCCACGGCCTCCCGCGGGGTCGTCCCAACGGCTTCGCGAGTGTGTCGTCGGAAAACGCTCCCCTGCAGGGCGTGGTGGCGAGGGCGTCGAGGAACATCGGATGCGCGCACCTGCCAGGCGAAAGGAGAAGAGGAGGAGGGGGAGGAGGAGCAGGTGGAGGAGGACGACGATCAGGAGGAAAATGACGAGGAGGAGGAATCAGAGGAGGAGAGGGAGGAGGGAGAGGAGAGCAGGAGGTAGGAGGAGGAGGAGGAATATAAGACATGTAACGAGTAGGAGGAGGAGGAGAAGCTGAGGAGGAGGAGGAGGACGCAGAGCGCGGGAGGAGGGTCTCCACCAGCCGAAGAGGAAAAGGGCGAGCGAGGAACAAGCTAACTAGATTTTCATATGGGGTCGTACAGTTTGAGTAATGGGTTTGCGAGGTGGACCCCCTGGGAGTCGCACGAGTCGCAGCAGTGCTCGAGCCAAACGCTGTTTTGTGATTTCGTGGACCGTTTCCGTTCTGATGCCGTTGTTCGGCAGCCGTGGACCGGAGACAGAATAATGCAAAACTATTAATCACACCGAGAACCAAAAATACGACTTAGCTCGAGCCCTGATTTGGATTTTGTCATCGCGGGAAGGAAGAGCTACACCACCACCAGGAGGGCGTCCAGATTGTGGATGCGGCGGTATGTCTCGAGCTGAGGGGGGGACCACACCACCTGGGGGTCCCCTGGCTCCTCCCGCTGGTGGTTTGTGGTGGTGGTGGTGGTGGTGGCGTCGCTCTGCCTTGCTCACTTTGAGCGGCGCAGAGAAGACGGGGTCGTCTTTACCGATATTGCAGCCTAAGCTGCCCGCGTAAGGCGGGGCGTAAGCCTCCAATGCAGCGCGCTGCGCCGGCGGCCCGCGTCAGCCACCGCGGAAGGTCGCTGCATCATCTCGTCGTTCTCTCGTGACGCTGGCGCCCTCGGAGTCGCACGAACCACGGGCTACCCCGAGCACGGCGCTCGGGCCGGGAACGAGAGGCCCGGGCTGGCCCCCGCGCCCCTGCGGCGGCATGAAGCCGCGGGGAGGGCGAAGCGGAGGTCGGGGCGGGAGCCGCCCGTCCCTGTCCTGTCGTAGCCTCAGGGTGCAGGGGGGGTCCCCAGGCGTGGGCAGGAGTAGGAACTTGGAAAACCGACACCGGCAACACCAGGGACCACCAGCGGAAGGAGCCAGGCAGGGTCACTTGGTGGTGTGGTCCCCCCTCCTCGCTCGGGACATTCCCTATCCCCGGCTCGGAGAGGCATCGTGGCATTCCTCGCCTCTCCTTCCCCCCAAGGAGGAGGCCGGCCTTCTCCGAAGGCGGCGGGGCTTACGAGGAGCAGCCCCTGTCCTCGGGGGAGGCTCCGAGGCTTCCGGCTGAAGCCTCGGAGCCAAAAACTGCGGCCCGTGGGCTCGCCGCCGAAAATCTGAACACTACCCTTAAGCCGGGCGTGTCCCTTTAGAGGAGGGGTGTTCAAAAATAGTCACAGCAAATAGCCTGGGGTCATTTTTTCGGTTATCGTTGGATTATTGTACGTCTTTGAATATGTGTTTGTCATTTTCGTTCGTCCAAAATCTGCCTGTAGGAGGACATGCCCGACCTAACACTACCCTCTCCGATCAACGATTCGGTCAACTGGATGGGTGGCGGAGGTGGTGGTCGGAACTCGTGGGACACAGGGGGAATTTTGAATCAAACCGCCGCTTCCCATCGATTCGGGAGAATCGATGGTTTGGTGGGGCGGTGGTCGGATGTTGCCATCCAGTGGAGGCGCGTGTGGCCGTGGCACACACTTTGCGTGTTCAGGGCGACGCGATATTCTTCGTGGGGAGGAAGAAGTACGGACTGGATACCGCTACCCTGTTCTCGTTTTCGTTTTTCTGGACCTCTGGGAGCGGCCCTGGTCGCCAAATCGTCTGTTCGGCGCTGTCGTGGCGATTTTTGCAATTTCACTGAGGTGCCTTCGTGTTCGTGTTGCTCGAGGCGGGCCTCGTCGTATATTCCTTCGTCTATGGCGATGATGTTTCTGCGGGTGGGCTTCTACCTCGCCGGGGTGCTCGTCCCTGTCGTGGTGGTGGCGCCCGCAGAGCTCGAGAGGGGTCGGCGTTGAGCTCAAACAAAAAGGTTGTGGCGAGAACGCCCCCCAGGGAGTAGCGGTGTTGCTACCGTTCTTATCTCCCCGGTTCCCAGTGCCGCCTTCAGCGCAGCTGGCTGCAGCTGGCTGGTCAACAGACCGAATCCGCGCCTTGCCCCAAGGGCAAGCGAGAATGCTTGCTTGCTTCAGCGCTGCAGCGGCCGGGGGGTGGAGGACCTGGCGGCGAGAGCGCTTACTTCTGCCAGTGTTTATTGTTTCCCCTCCTTCTCTTGTGTCTGTCGTTATTGTGTCTCATTTGCCCGCCGAGGCGTTCGTCTGCGAGGGCGGGCCACGCGAAACGCCTGCAACCCGTGATGTCGGCGTATCGATCTCACAATCGATCTCAGTATCCCTTTCACTGTCGAGAACCCTCGATTCATCTCACCTTAGATCTCACAGTCGGCCTCATTTCAGGACAACGACGGGTCACCTCCAGCAACGGCAGGGCAACCCAGAGGGGGGCGATCTTTTGGATTGAATATTGAACGCCTTCGATTATATAGGGGAATTCTAGGAGTGGTAGACTACAAGCCCAGGGTGATGGGTCCGAGAGCCAGACTGCAGCAGTCCCCCGGAAATTCGACGTACTGGAGATGGCGTCTCCGGGATTCCCCGTGAAGGCCCTCGTCTTCGAGGATCAAATGCATTGCTATCTCCTCCTCGGCGGACGGCGGCGGAAGGCCTGCAAAAGCCGGCAGGACTGAAGCGAGAGCGCACCCGCCAGCGGAGGCCGGCGGAAGGCCAGCGGAGGCCAGCGGGGGTAAAAGTTGCCGCCCTGTGGGGCTCAAGAGACGGGGGTCAGTGCAAACGGGGTCAAGCCAGGGCGCAGGATGTTGCAGGACCCTGCAGGGACAGGGTTGCACTGACCCGGGCGTGCGTGCAGGATCTTGCAGGATTGCGCAGGATCCTGCAAGGCCCGACGGACCTGGGTTTGGATTGCCCCGGGGCCAGTTGATCACACGATATGGCAACCTTTTTCGGGGTCCAGGGTTGCTGGAAGCGGCCACGTGGGCCCAAGTGGCCCTCATGCTCCTTTGGCTGCACGTTTGGCGCGCGCCTACGGGGCGCGGCGACACGCCAGGCGCCAGCATATTTTGACCGGCCCCCTGTCCCCATCTCCATCCACATCCACAGCCAGACCCCCGCCATGTCAGCATCCAAGTGGGACGGCTTGCATCCCCATCGAGGAGGACAAGAGTCGGCTGGCCCAGGCCACGCCGTGGCGGGTAGCGGTCTGATATAAACGCTGCGCCAGGCGGCGGCCCCCCTGCCGCGCGGCCAGGCCGCCTTGGATCCCTGGCTGGCGGCTCGGCGGCAGGCGGCGGCCCTCCAGCAGGGGCGGGCTGCCCCCCCTGCGGGACCGCCGCCGCCGCCCCTCCCTCCGGCGGGCCCGCCGCCGCCGCCCGCCCCTCTGGCGGGCCCGCCGCCGCTGCCCCTCAAGGCCGGGGGCCTCGGGACGGGGGGCCAGCGCAGACGGGGGTCAGCCAGGGCGCCGGGTCCTGCAGGATCTTGCGGGGCCTGCAGGGCTGCACGGGCCCGGCCCGGCGCGCAGGATCCATGCAGGACTGGGCAGGCTCGTGCACCGCCTGAGTGACCTGGGTTGGCAGTGGGCCGGGTCAGTGACAGCCCAGCAAGGCGCCGCCGCCAGTGCTGCCGCTGCCAGTGCTGCGGCCGGAGGACCGCGCCGCATGTCCTGGCGACCGCGGGCGTGACCAGAGGGGAGGGGGAGAGGGGGCCGGTAGAAGGTCACGATTCGCGCCGGCGCCGTCTGGGAACGCTTGCAGGAATGGCCAACTCGCCGACCATGTGATATGACCATGGGGAGGCGAATTGTGATATGACCATGGGGAGGCGGGGCTAGTCACGGGCGCTATCGCGAGTGATCACAGCCTGGAGGTTGGCACTAACACCAGCATCGGCGGTTCAGAGGGAGGATGGTCTTAATCTCGGCGATGGCGGTCATAGTGGCCTTGCGAGACATTTCCACCAGCACCAAATTCAGGGTCGCTTTCCCCGGTGAGCCAGGGGGCGATGCCACGCAGGAGTATAATTTTTCAGCTGCCAGGAGGGGCGGGCGTCCACGACGGAAAAGTGCATCTTATACTGAGCTTCGCCCGCTGAGTGAAGGCCAGCCCTTGTGCCGGTGTCGATGCCGATCTCCAGCTCCTCGGACTTGTCGTTCCTTTTGCAGTTGCCGCTCCGCCTTCGACGGGGGGATTGGACTGGCCCAGGGGGGGGAGCATCGAATGCAGGCGGTTTTTCTCCCCCAATCCCGGGGTTTTGCTCGAAAAGTTTGGCCACTCAGAAATGATCGGGGGTGGAAAAGAGGGGGGTGATGACTAGGAGGGGGTGGATATCATGGCGCGGGCCATGATATCTCCGCAGATTTCATGGCGCCTCTACTTACTTCATTACGTCCCTGGCACCCCCGCTGGGCCGCGCACATGCCGCCGGTCATGATTTGCACCCCCTCCTCTTGGACACCCCCCCCCCCTCTTGGCCGCTCCCGAAAATGATAAAGGGGGACACCCTGGGATACACCCCAAGAGGGCTGCTCGGACGCCCCCCTTGCCGGACGCACGCCCGTCGAGGCTGGGCGCCCCCCCCCATCGTATATACGCCAGGGATAGAGGCCCCCACTTTTGGCCCCGCTCGAAAGCCCCACGACGCCTGGGATTGGGGTCGACCTATCCCCAGACCCCCGACGTCGTGGTTTGGTCGACGACGTCGCCCCCCAGAGATCTGCACTCCCTCCCCGGGGCCGGCTCTCCACCCCGAGCCGTTCTCTCGGCCCCCGAGGCCCGGGCGGGCCCCCCCCCCCAGCAGGCCGAGCACAGCGACACGCCTCCTGTCGCGTGCCTCCCCGTCGCCGCGCGGGGGGGGCCCTCCCGGAGGCGCTGCCGTCGACCACCAGTCAAACAGGGCCAGGATCGGGACAAATCGCTCCAGAGCGTTCCGGAGCGCTCTCAGAGCGTTCCGGAGCGCTCTGGAGCAGCCGCGCTCTGGAGCGGCCGCGGCGCCCCATACGTCCTCCAAACCCGGCCGCTTCCCAGAGATTTCGAGTTCTCCCGATCCGATTTTGTCCCGCTCTTCGCGTCGTTTTCACCAGCCGCCCGCGCCTCGCCCACGGGAGCCCGACGGCCCACCCCCCGGGCGGGGAGCGCCCTCGGCGTCGCCAGCGGGGGCCCACTCGCGCCCCTCGGTCGTCGAGGCGCCGCGGGCTCCGGGCCGACGCACCCCCCCCGCCGCTGGTCAGGGGGGGGAGGGGAAAAAACACACAGACACAATTAATCGGCGATTCCCAGAAAATATTGGAAAATATGGGAAGTGGAGGGGAAGACAAAAACCCAGAAAATATGGGAAAATATGGGGCATATTTTTATTTGTGTGTATTTATTTGTGTGTCCCAGTTTCCCTTCACAGGGGGGGGAGGAGCACACGGGCACAAGTAGTCGTCGACTCCCCGGAGGATGTGGGAAAATATGGGAGGGGTGGGGGGGGGGAGGACGAACGCCCAGAAAAGATTCGGAGCTAGTTGGGGAATGGGGGGGGAGGAGCACACGGGCACAAGTGATCGTCGACTCCCCGGAAGATGTGGGAGAATATGGGATGTGGGGGGGGGGAGGACGAACGCCCAGAAAAGGTTGGGAACTGGTTGGGGAATTCTGTTGCTTGTGGATTCCAGGAGCTGGTCTTCCCCTGACGTTGCCCCTGCATCCTCCTCCCCTGAGGAGGCCGGATCTTGCGCAAGTGACGATCGTTGGGTCAGGGATGTTTGCCAGCTTTGTTTTGGCCTGTTCTTAGAGGCAGCATTCCTTGTGGTGCGGAGGAGAAGGCAGAGGGGAGGGGTGGCGCAACTGGCATATGCGCCGATGCTTCTGCTCTGAGCCAGCATCGATTCTGACTAAACTCGAGGGCGATGAGGAGAGTGGCGGGGTGGGGAAGGAGTGGATTGCCTGTACAGGCTGCATCGGCAACAGTTGCGAAGGCGAAGTGACGAGGTGAGAGTGACACAGGGGATGGAAGCGATGCAAGCCCCTCCTTCCTTGTCCTCCTCATCCCGCCTGCTGGTGCTGGTGCTACTTTCCACTCCTCCACCTCGTCCATCCTCGCTCCTCGCTCTCCTCCTCTGGCCCACGAGTCCCCCTCAATCTTCATCACTCCTCCTCCTCCTCCTCCTCCTCCTCCTGTTCTTCCTCCTCCTCCTCCGCCTCCTCCTCCGCCGCCTCCTCCTCCTCCTCCTCCTCCTCCTCCTCCTCCTCCTCCTCCTCCTCCCCCCTTGGTTTCTTATTACCACAGGGAGACAATATAAACATATCAGCTCTCAGGAAGCCTCAGGGGAGCACCCCCGACCAATCGGCAGGCACGAGCTGCTCATGGGCAGGACACGGTTCCCGACTCGGGCGCGTTCAGATGCGATCGATGTCATGTTCATCCTTGTCTTCCCCTGCTTCTTCCCCCATCCCCCTTATCACTCTGTCCCCTTGCCTAGAATCTCCTGCACCCCCTGCTTCTCCTCCTTCTACCTGTCTTCCCGGTCCGTCTCTTCTTCCTACGTAGCGCGCGCGCGTGTGTGTGTGTGTGTGCTAATTAGCCAGGTGCGATTTGCCATTGTAGCTCTCAAGACACTGTGCCTGACGCTTGCCAAGCCCACTGCACCTCCGCATGCGTTTGAGTTGTCCCACTTGCTCGCATCTGCCCTTGCACGCCGCCTTGGAGGACACAGCCTCTGTTTGAGTCCATTCGTCAGATGTGAAATATGATTATGTTTTCCTCTGCTAACGTTCGGCTCGCCCGTTGCTGTGTGTGCTCAAGTCATTCAAAGAGATGCTCTGGAGCGACCTGCCGCCAGCGGCGCTCCACCTGCGGACATCCTGGACGGCAAGCAGCTGCCCCGCGTGCCCGTCGCTGGAGTGCCCGCAGGTGGTGCTGCCGGCGTGCCCCGCCCATTAGTGCGGGGATTGCGCGTGCCCTGAGCTCGGGCTGGGCCCGTTCCCCTGGCTGGGCGCGGGCACCGGGCTCGCGAGCGCCGCGGCCGGCGCTGCGGCGGTCTGCGCCTTCGGCGCGGTGGCGTGCAGCCTCTGGCCGCGGCCGTCTGCCCGCCGGGCCGAACCGGCAGGGGCGGCGGCGGCGGCGAGGCCGGCGCCGAGTGGGCTCGCTGCATGGGCCGGCGGTCGGCCGGCGCCGAGCACGACGACAACACAGGCGCAACTGAGGGATGCCAACGCAACGCTTGACACCAAGTGTGCGCAGGTGGTCGTCCACTACCCCGACGACGACAAAGGGCTGGTGAGGCGCCATCGTGTGCTACTGTATCGTGTCGCTGCTGGCCGCTGGGCGTGCCTCACTCCTGATCTGCAGCTTGCCGTTCCCTGCCAACGTGGCGGCCGCGTCCTACGTGCCGCGTCCTCAGCTCGACGACGACGGAGTCATAGGCCCTCAGCTCGAGGACTTTGTGGCGCACGCGAAGGTGCAAGCTTTCATCCTTGCCGACGGCGGCTTCGGCGAGCTTGCGGTCGAGAGGTGGGTCGTCTACCAGGTGGACGATGAGCACTTCGGCAAGCAGGTGCTTGACGAGCAGCGGTTCGTGGAGCGGGTCAGAGAGGACAAGCTCGACGAATGGCATGAGAGGCGATTGCGGAGTGAGGGCGGCTCGAGGATATTGGGAGTTCACCGCAAGAGGGGGGAACCCAACCTGACGCTCTCGGACGCGGTGGAGCTCTCCACGGAGGAGACGTGAGACGACCTGGCCGCCCCCCCCCCCCCCCCGCGTGCGACCAAGGAGTGGTTGGATTCCGCGCGGGATGGGCCTGGCTCGATGGTGGTCGATGAGAGCGAGCGGATGCAGGAGAGCGGAGTCGGCGATGGCACCGCGGCCCTCCGCGAGCATCGCGACAACGTGGAGGCGCTGCGGCTGGCTCGCCAGGTGTTTCAGCTCAACGTCCTGGCGTGCTTTGAGCAGACGGTTCGGAAACATATCCAGATTGAGATGGCCGTGCAGAGGAATCAGGCAAGGACCACGGAGAGCGGCGAGCAAGAGGTTCGGGGACTTGGTCTAGAAGAAGCAGGGCGAGCGCGCCAAGACTCCGAAGCAGGCGCGGCCGCTGCGGGAGGAGCGGCACAGCGAGGACAAGCGCGCAAATGGTGGCATGGGAGCAGAGGCCCGAGAAGGACGCCAGCGCGGGGGGCGACAAGAAGACGGAGGAGGTGTGATCCTGACGGTCGGCCTCGTTCAGGGTGGGTCGGCCGCGCAGCATGGCCGCCCCCGAGGAAGGCGCTGGCGTTCGACGGCGGCTTCGTTCTCAGAGGTGGCATGGCGAGCTCTTCCCCTTGCCGCCCCCTTTCCTCCCGAGCTCGGCATCGCCCGGCGCCAGCGAGAGTGCGAAGCGGTTCGTAGATCTCTCAACCAGTTCGCCGCTGGTACAACTCCGTTTTCGAGCGTCTCAAGCGCGACGATTTGGAGGGCAGAGGGGCAAGCCCAGGCAATGCGACGTCCTGCAGCACGTCGCTCGGCGCGCCAAGGCGCGCGGCCCCCCACCTCGAGACCAGAGCCCTCGCGGAGCTCCTGGCGTCCAGGGGCCCGCGCGCGCAGGTGCCGAAGGACCTCGCCGTGCACGACTTATGTTCAAGATGTGCCCGTCGGGCACTGTGGCGAAGGACGCCATGGTGCCCCCCCCCCGCCCGAGTCTGCGGGCCTCATCAAGCATTTTCAGCATTTCGTCGGGCGCGATGCTGAGCAGATGCTGGGGGCGCAGGCGGCCCAGGATTTTCCACGGCCACGTGGGGGTCCGACGCTGGCTCGAGATCGCGACGGCATCTTTGAGCTCGCCCAGCGCCTCAGGCAGGCCAGCCTCATCGATGTCTGGAAGCCCGCCAGGGCCAAGGTCGGCATCTTCTACGTCAAGATGAAGGACCCCGCGTGGACCAGGCTCATCATCGACGCCGGGCAGGCGGAACCCTTGCACAAGACGCCGCCCAAGACTCGTCTGGTGTCGGTCGGCGGGCACTGCCAAGAAATGACCTTTCGGACAGCGCGCTGCGCGACCCGGGCCGCCTCGGCGGGGCCGCCGAGATCTAGGGTGGCGCCGGCGACGTGGACGACTGCATCTACCAGATGCTGGTGGAGGAGCTCGGGTCCTGGTTCGGCATCGACCTCTCCCGCGCGGCTGGCGACTGGGGGGTCATATAGATCTACGACGGCGACCTTCGGGGGCGGCCTCGGTCGATCCGTCCGAGATGGTCTGCCCCCTCGCCCACGGCATGGCCATGGGCTGGTCCTGGGCGTTGCAACTTGCGAACGAGGTTCTCTCGTTCCTGGCGTCCAGGAGCGCCGTCTGCCCTCGCCCGCTGCTCCTGGAGGGCACTCCGGCCCCGCCCTTGCGCTTGGGGCAGGCGGCGTCGGGCGCGCGCGTGGACAACTTCGCCGCGCTCGCTGGGGAAAAGGAGACGGCGCTCGAATCCGTGGAGCTGTTCAGACAGGTGGTCTCGTCGGTCGGCATCGGCACCCACGTCGACCCGGACGTCGCCGCGGTCTTTGAGAGCCTGGTCGCGGCGTTCGACGGGAAGCAACAGTGCCTTCAACATGTACCTCGGCGAGTCTGGCGGGTCCACATGGCGACTCGGGCCCTTCGGCGGCGTCGCTGGATCCGCGCGAACGTCTTGGAGATTTGGCTCGCGCACGTCGTCAAATTGTTTGGGCTGTTGCGGCCAGCGCTGTCCTGCCTCCGGGCGATCTACCCCGTCGCGGCCGCGGCCCGCGGCCGCCGCGTCCGCCTCGCGCCGGCTGTCGAGGACGAGATGCGGCTCACGCAGGGCCTCCGTTACCTTGGCGAGTACGACCTGGGGGCCGGCTTCAGCCGCGAGGTCTACTGCTCGGACTCCTCGGGCGTCGGGCACGCGCTGCTGTCCGCCGCGGCCGCCGACGCCGAGCTGCGGGACCTCGCCCGCTACCGTGAGAGGTGGGGGTTCGTGCTCGTGGACTCCCTGTCGGATGTGGGCTTGCTGCAGCCTGAGCGGGTCGAGCACGCGGGCGGCCGCCTCGCGCCTGGCGCAGGGGCTGATCCTCTTGAGGGCGCCTACGCTGACGTTGCTGGGCGAGGGTCTCGACCCTGCGCTATCGGCCCGCAGACGCAATTCGGGCGCTCGCTGGCGGCGGCCTCGGTCGATCGGGCGGCCCCCCGACCTCGAGATGGGCGCCGCGCTCGCTTGCCGAGCCGAGGCCGAGGCCCCGCCGGGACGAGGTTGAGATGCCAGCATCAGGGCAGGCATGTGTCTTCAGGCGCCCGCGTCGCAGTATCATGCAGTCGTTGCGCATAGCGAAAGGGAAGCCCGAAGGCTGGATCAGGCGTTTAGAAAAATGCGTTTACCGTTTTTGTTTGTTTGGTTTTTATATATATATATATTCCTCGCGGGCGTTCGAGCTTCATTCCGTGGTGTCTGGATGTTTCAGTCGGGGTTGCTTTTCCATCGTCCGTAAGTTTTCCTCGGCCAGCGGTACTTGTAATCACGTGATGGATTGTCATTTAGCGTCGAATTCGTCCATTGAGCGGTCATTTTTTCAAACTATACATTTGGGTGTGGCCCAGATCTGTTTCAGAAAAGTTGGAGTATTCAGCATGGGGCAGAGTGTTCTTGGGGCGTTTGCTTTGCATTATTATGTAGCCGTTGTGTATCGGGAAAAAAAGGAGGCTCCAAGGTTGGGTTGGGTCTTGAACAGCGAAAGCCTTTACAGGGCTTGTTGCTTTTCGCGGGCCGTCGGTATTCGGCGGAATTGATTAGATGATGCCTCGCTCGCAAGTGTCCAGTTTTCCGTGATGTCTTGGGGGGTTCCAACAGGAGTTGTTTGTTCCAGCGTGTGGTGGTTTCTTTGTTCGGCGGGGGATTCGTGTCCGTTCGCCCCAGACAGTTCCATCGTTCGACCGAGGAAGATACTCCCGCTTGCCCGAAATAAGTTCTCCGTTTGGTCAGCGGAATTTCTTGGCTCGCCAGGAAAGACTTCCCTGTTCGCCCGTCGGATTTTTTTCGTTCGGCCCGGCAACAGTCTCTTTTCGCCTGTCGACCCCTTGGGAGGCCGTGCCAGTCCGCGGCAGGCGTTCGCAAACCGCAGAGGGTAGACAGAGGAAAAAAGCAAGAGTCAACGGGAGAGTTGTTGGGGCTTTTGGAGGGCCTTGCGGCAGGCAGTATGGGGACCGGGTTCGCAGTACGTCAGTTGGGGTTTTCTCTCTCGGGCTCTTCTTGGGAGTTTTGCGGGGCCCCTGGGATCGTCTTGGGACCCTCTTGGGTCGTTGTGGTACCCTCTCGGACATCACCCCTTTTAGGAACATCTTGAGGCGATCTTGGTGTTTTCTTGGGCCGTCCCGGGAGGTCGCAAGAAAAATAAAAACACCATAGTTCAAGAGTTTGTCAAACACGCGCGGGCAATCAATGAATTGTTGTTTTTGATGCCCTCCTGGGAGTCATTTTGGAACCCTCGTGGGACATTTCGGGTGCCTTGTGGGCCGTCTTCAGGCCATTTTGGGCGCATCGACGCGCTCGTGGGCCGTCTCAGACCTCCGTGGGACCGTGAAGGAGGCGGCTTGGGGCCCGCTCGGGCAGGCAAGGACGGCTGGAAGCCGGACGTGGGCTAGGACGATAATGAATCCGTTCCAGGGCGTTCCGGAAGGCTCTCAGGGCGTTCCGAAACGCTCTGAGAAGGTCGCGGCGCCCGAGACATCCTCCAGAGCCGCCAGGTTTCAGAGATTCTCGATTCATTCGCACCCGGTCTTATGCTCAATCTGGCTTCGTCTCAGGAGGGAACCTCCGGAACCAAACACATTAGAATTTTCGGCCGACGGGAGCGCGCGAGTTGGATCTGATGTGTGCACGGGGGGGAGGCGGCGGTCGACTTTGGGGGTGTTTGAAGTGACACGGCAACCTCCTCTTTCTCCTCCTCCTCCTCTCCTCCTCCTCCTCCTCCTCCCCTTCCTCCTCCTCCTCCTCCTCTTCCTCCTCCTCCTCTTCCTCCTCCTCCTCTTCCTCCTCCTCCTCCTCCTCCTCCCCCTCCTCCTCCTCCTCCTCCCCCCCCTCCCACTCCTCCTCCTCCCCTCCACTGGGGTTGTCGGTTCCGGTGTCGTGTTCGCGTCTTTTCTGCGGTTGGGGCGGGGCGGTGAACGCGGGCGGGAGGAGTGGCCCCACCGCCGCTGCTGCGGCGGAGTCGGGTTAAGATGCCCCCCCCGTCTGGCTGGTGGACAGGGGCCCGCGGTGGTCCCGTGGTTGTCCCGTGGTGGTCCCGCGTTTGTCCCGTGGTTGTTTTTCTGGCTTTCTTGATGAGTGTCTTGGCAGTTGGCAGTTGTCCCGATGGTTGCTCCGATTGTTGTCCCGACGGTTGTCTCGATGTTGGTTGACCCGATGGTTGTCCCGATTGTTGTTCTTGTGTTGGTTGCACCGGCGGTTGTTGTCCCAACGATACTTCTTGTCCCGATTGCGATCATCTCGATGGTTGTTGTCCCCATGGTTGTATCGATGGTTGTCCCGATGGTTGTCCAGATGGAGTTGGGCAAGGCAATTCGCTGGGCGCCTTCGGGTATCCGAATTGTTGGCCAACGTGCAACAGTAAAGTGATGATGCTCCCAATGGTTGTTCCGATGCGCATATACATACATTCCGCATGCACATCTGTTGTTTATATGCATATTTAGTATATCGAGTGATCGGTAGATCGGCAGCGTGATCCATAGAGATACCGATGGTGATGCTGATAGTGGTATTGGTAAAACAAGCTACCGTGCTGTATATATAATAAATCGAGGCCAATGGTTAGGTTCTGAAAAGGATACGTATGGACATTCATATATCGTGAGAGCGACCTCTCGTCAGTGAAGTCGATAGTGGTATCGACAGGTCGGCATATCGACAGCTCAACGAACATATTGACATTGAAATCGCAATGTACATAGATGTGTAAACAATTATAAATTAGTACAATGGGTAGCGATACTGGTAGAGGTTGTTCAGTGGATGGAGACGGTTGTCCCGATGGTTGTTCTTTGTTTGGTCCACCCCCGATCCCTCCATCGGCTTTTTGACGGTCGTATAGGGGTATATATATATATGTGTATATATATGTATATATATATATCAGAATGAGTGGGGCGAATGGTCTTACATCATCCCTGGTTGCGTGGGTGAAGTGGGACTATGTGGCCCAGAGTCGGCTTGTTTATTGTCTGTTGTTGTTGTTGTAGTAGTTGTTGTCGTCCATCCGCGACACACCGCGCGACCCATTCCGCAAATCACCCGTGTCTCGACTGCGACCCTCCCAGCGCCCTACAGGGCCCCCCCACCTCCGTTTTTTATTTCAATTTCGGGGAGTTTTGTATTCAGATACTTCACTAATTCGATATTGACCCGTCCAGGCATCTTGTTCTTCACATTAATCCGACCTCAGCTATCGGTATGCAGCCATCCGAATCGCACGACCAATGGATGTTGATAATGGCGCCCAGGGGTATACCTTAAGTCTGCATAAAGAGACATTTGGTATCGAGTGGCCTTCGCCCCATTCCGCCACCGTGTCTGGGTCGTCGACAAGAGGTATGTTACATGCCTATTGGGCCCTGTCGGGGGCCTCTCCGAGGCGTCCTTGAGTCGTCGGGGTCTCTCCTTGGCCTGCCGGGTGTCTCGGGATCCCCCGCGGAGGTGCCGACCCTTTTCTTCCCTTCCTGTCCCGGGTTCCTTTTTGATTGCCCCGTTGTCCAAGAACGGGCACCAGAGGCCGAACACTTGAGACAAATCACCCCAGATCGAGCGGCTACAGTCCATACGGAGGGTAAGGATGAGTGATTCTCCATGGTCCCAGGTCTCCTTGCATCCTTCCCATTCGGCCCATTCTCGGTGGTCCTCGCTGGCCGCGCCCAGCTCGAAAAGTGTCGACAAGGCCGTCAAAGGTCCATGCATCCTTACCGCGCATATTCTACGCGTTGATTGTAGTCGGCGTCACCCCAACATACTGACACTATGCGTGCGTTGCCCCCTCCAGGGCGACGCGCGCACCGAGAAATCGTAGGGCGCGTTTTGACCACACTTCTCGGGAATCGACATACTAAAAGAAGGCTAAACTATATACTCGGGTCGGATGGGCGCCTCCGAGGAGGGCATATTGATAATAGCTACCAGCGCAGTGGGACGTGCAGAAACATGCTAGTACAGAAACATATTAGTACAGGCTTCGTAGCAACATGCTAGTACATAAACATACAGGTACAGACACATACTAGTCGATAAGCCCTCCAAGTAGCTACATGGGACGTGCAGAAACACACTAGTAACTAATATGTTTCTGCACGTCCCATGTAGCATCGTCCGAGGATCTGGGTTTTGGGGGTGGCGGGCTCCAGGTCTCCCTGCCTCCTCTGGCTCTCGCTCCTTCGCCTTCTTTCGGGCCCTCGGCTCCGTCCGAAACAAAGTGGCGGGCTCCAAGGCAGCAGGCCCCCCCGCGAAGGCCCTCTCAGCCAGCGCCCGGTCGGCCGGCGAGCGGGGCGGGCGCCGAGGTCGCCGCCCCCGCCCGGCGTCGTGCTGCCCCGCACGGAGCCGGTCTCAGGGTCACCGCCGCCCCCTCCGTGCTCCCATGGTGCCATTGCTTAAGAAGCGATTAACCAGGGAACAGAAACCGGGTGTTAGGTTTGTGTGGCTTTATGTAAAACTGTGAAGCGCCCCTTGTGCGCGGACCAAGTCTTAAGTCGGAGTTGACCGGGTGTTAGGCCCAGGTAGACCGGGTGATAGGTCCCCATCCGAAAAGTCAACCCCAAGACAAGGTATAAAACCTAAAACTTGGTTAGTGAACCCTGGTTAATCCAGTCTTAAATTGCTCCACTCATGTGCAGCGTTGGGAGGCGAGGGCAGAGTCAACGCCGACGGTAGGGATGCGTAAGCTTCGCGAGGGAGCCCCTGCGTCCTTGCCTCTTCGGTCATTCTTGACTGCCTCCGATGGCCCGCCGCCCTCGACAGAGGCCTCCACGCGGGCGTCACAGGGGCCTGCATCCTCATCGCGCATCCCTGCTCTCGCTTGTGATTGCACGGGGGAAGAAGGAGGGGAGGATGGGGAGAGCCGGGAGGAGGGAGGGCGAGGAGGAGGGCGACGCACGAGGAGGGCGGGAGGATGAGAGGAGGCAGGACACAGAGGCGAAGGATGCAAGAGGAGGAGGGAAGGATGAATATTGATGTGTCCACGCGCACATGTTTATATAATCCACGGTTGGGGGACCCAGGCTCGCTCCTGAGATGGGATGAGTCCGTGGGTTCCACGACACCCCACATCCCACCCCGCAGTGGGGATTTGGGAGGGTGACGATGGCGACGACGACGCCGAGGACGACGACAACGACGACCAGGGAGGGGGGGAGACGACGACGACGACGACGACGACAACGACGACGACGAAGACAACGACGACGACGACGACGACGACGACGACGACGACGACGACGACGACGACTACACAGACGACGACAACGACGACGTCGACGACGACGACGACGACGACTACACAGACGACTACGACGACCACGACGACGACGACGACGACGACGACGACGACGACGACGACAACTACACAGACGACGACGACGACGACCACGACGACTACACAGACAATGACGACGGCGACGACGACGACGACGACGACGACAACCGGACCTCTGCCCATCAGCATCGCACTACATCTGGGGGGAACCCATCGGCGGAGGGTGAGGGGCGAACCCAGCTATATTGGATCAGCAGAGGGTGGAGGGCGGAGGGTGGAGGAGTGCAAGATTGAGAGAAGAGGAGGAAGGAGAAAGCAAAAGGAGCTGCAGACGCCCCCGCTACGACCCGACGCTTTCCGAGTGAATTTTCCGAGTGAATTTTCCGAGTGAGTTTCTCATCACCATTAAGCCTCAGTGCCCGAGTGAGGAGGAGCATGAGGGAGAACATGAGGCTAATGATGTGGATAATCTCCCCGGCCATAGTCCCATGGGAAGTTATGCGTTGTATGTATGTTTGTGTTTCTCCTGGCCTCTTTCTTTCCCTCTATTTCCCTCTCTCTGTGTATACATGTGTATCATGCTCAGACTCTACCCATGACCCCTGTGCTCTCGCCCTTTCTCTTTCTCTCCCTCTCTCTATCTCTTTGCCGTTATCCTGTACCATCTCTCCCTCCCCTTCAGGGGAACCATCTGATTGCCCCATTCGCTCACACATCGGAGTTTGAATATACATTTACACATTTTCTGATACACGTAGCTATATCTCGGCCATGGCTCGAAGACACAGCGCTTGACCTCACGCTGACATCTCACAGGCTACTCCTACGAGTCACGGGATGGCAAAGCAGGAAGAAATTCCACCCCATGTTACAGAGCAAATTTGGTCCGTCCTCGCTGCACGGCCCTTGCCCCCTCCCCCACTGCCGCCTTGGGTCCACCCCGTTACCCCTCCCCTCGCTTTCCCCTCCCCCCCTTCCCTTTCATCCAATTTCCCCTCCTCCACCCCCTCCCCCTTCCTCCTCCTCCTCCCTTCCTCCTCACCTCCCCCCCTCCTCCCCCTCCCTCTCCCCCCTCCCCCCGGGGGGAGCGGATGATTCACAAGTGACCGTTGTGTGATTCGGGCCGGGAGCCCCGGCCGCACGTTGCTAGCATAAATTGATATCCCAGCCGCAGAGATGACGACCAGCTACCGGAGGTTTCGCCTCATGGCTGCCCGTTTATAGGACTAGGTCCGGAGTTTCTCCTCGGACTGGGGCAGTGGCAGTCGAGCCACGAGCAAAATCCAAAAACTAAATAAATATATGTTTATTTTTCTCTCTCTCTCTCTCTCTGTCTCTGTCTCTGCCTATCTCCCATCCACCTCTTATCCGCTGCCTGGACCATGCAATAGAAACGCGGACGGGTGGAGACAAAGTTCCCGCAAGGCAACATGTCGGTCGTTTGCGTGGAGAAGTATGGGAAGACGAAGATTGGCAGACTTGGTCCCTGCCGACTTCTGTATGTGTCCCCTTGACTTCAACCTTTTCATCCATCCGTGTCTCTCCACGCCCATGGTGCAGCGCGGACTTCATACATATGTTGCAACATCAGGCCTGGATGTCGGCAGGTGTGCAACATAATGTCCGCCTTGTGCGTGTGTGGGGTGTGGGCGGATATCTGCCCCCAGGAGGCTTGCCAGAAGCCTCCAACTACACTTGCTCGGGTGTTCGGATGTGGCGTTCAGCTGTTAGCATCGTGGAGTTATAGTGTTCAGGTTTGGCTGTTAGGATTCGGGTGTCGGGGTCAAGTATTTTGTACATCTCGACGTCATGTTATTTTCCCAAGACGAAGTGGCTCCTCAGGAGACCCTAAAACGTTCCCTGAAGGCCTCCAGGCTGCCCAACGCAAGAGGCACCGCAAGACGCCTCAAAAGATGGCCCAACTGATGACAAACCAAATTGGCATGTTGAGCCATACCCCCCCAAGATGGTACTGGACACTGCCACGGGGCCCCCAAGACGCCATCATGGCCGCAAGACGCCCCCAAAAGTCCCCCCATGACGCTCTCAAAGCTCCCAAAACGCTGTCAAGAGCCCCCTCCCGGAAGCCCCACAAGCTTTAGCACCCCTATAAGTTTGATGCGCCATATGGCCTTGTATTCCGATTGATCTCGTGAACCTCACAACCTTTACGAACCCCATGATCCTGATGAGCTCTACGGCACCGACGAACCCATTGAGCCATACGAGCCCCATGAGCCCTATGGGGCCTGTGAGCTCTACGCGTCCTCCAAGAGTTCCCTGAGGCCCTTCCCTGTGAGCCCTACGAGCCCCAGAAGCCCTACGAGCCCATGAGCCCAATGAGATCCTGAGCCCTGCGACACCTACGAGCCCGACGACCCCTGCGAGCCCGTCGAGCCCTACGAATCCTGCGGCCGCTGTCAGTGTTTCGAGCCCTCGGCCTCAGCTTGCCCTGCGAGCCCTACGACCTCAATGCACCACATAAGCTTACGAGCCAAACGAGCCCTATGACCCCATGCTCCTCACGACCTCATGCGCCTTCCAACCCCTACGAGCCCCATGATCCTGATGAACTCATGAGCCCTTCGAACCCTCCGAGCCCTATCACCCATACGAACCCTCTGAGCCACATGAGCCCTGTGTGCCCTCCGAGGCCGCCCCAGACACCTCCCCCAGGAGCTCACGAGCGACTTGACTCCCAAGCGTCCAGTGGACGCGGGGCCATAAGCCCGCATTAGCCCGATGGGCCCGTCGAGACTTGCGAGCATATCGACGCCCTCAGCACCGCGAGCCTTGTGGCCCCTATGAGCACCTCTGGCCACTCTGAGCCCCATGAGCCCTGTGGCCGCTGCGAGCCCATGAGCCATATGCGCTCTAGGGCCCCTCCGAACAAGAAGCCCTATGACCCCTATGGGCCGTGCGAGCCGCATGACCCCGATGGGCCCCACGAGTCCTATGAGCTCTGTGGGCCCTCCGAGCCCTATGTCGCCTGTGAGCCTATGATCTGATCAGCCCTCTGAGCCATGTGAGCCCGACGAGCCTCATGAGCCCTACGAGCCCAACGAGCCCTGCAAGCCCCACGCCGCCCCCGAGCCCCACGAGCCCCGCGAGCCCCCCGAGCCCCACCATCCCCACGGGCCCCACGAGCCTCGCGGCTCCATGAGGGCCCCCCGCAACCCCACAAGCCGTGTGGAGCGGCTCGGGCCGCGCGAGCCCCGCGATCCCCCCCCCCCGACCCGCCAGGAAGCCTGCGAGCCCTGCGGGCACGGCGGGCACCATAATCTGCCTGGCCAAGGCCCCCGCGAGCCCCAGAGCCCCAGTGAGCTCATCCTCTCGAGGAGCCCTTTGCACCCAGCCGCGTACGCCCGGGGGCCCCCGGGACCTCCCGACCCTCACGAACAGCGCCGGCCGAACCGCCCTCTCCTCCCAACTGAGGCCCCGCGCCCCTGAGCCCCAACAGCGGTGGAGAGGCCTTTGAGCCGTCTGACCCAGCAGTGCCCGTGGGTATTGTCAGCCTCGCGTGACCCATGGACCCTATAGCTGAAGCGTATCGCGGTACAGGCGGGTACCGGCCGCGGCGGACCTCTCTGGCGCTATGCGCCACGCGAAGCGAGTCGGTAAAATGTTGTGTGTATGTATGCACACATATATCTATGTGTGTATATATATATATATGTGTGTATCAGAGGTTGGGGGGTTGAGATCGCAGTGAAACGGAGACCCCCGCCGGGAAGTCGGTTTCGGTTTCGTGTTCGTGTCGTGCGTGCTGGCGAGGCGAAGCTGCGCGTGATCCTCCTGTAGCTAGGCCGAAGTAGGAGCGAAAGTCCGTTTCCCGTCCGACGGTGGCCGGGAGGTGTCCCAGTTGGGCCGGTGTCAGTAGGAGCGCAAGTCCGTTTCCCGTCCACCGGTGGCCGGGAGGTGTCCCAGTTGGGCCGGGTGTCCCGGGTGTCCTGGGCGTCCCGGCGCTAACGCATGTCGCTAATGTCATAATTCATTGTTCTTCGGCTTTTGCGGCGGGCTTTCTTATTCAATCCAGCTTATGTTAATTATCCAATCCATCTTTGTCCAATCCAATCAATCTTATCTTAACAAACCCATCTTGTTCCATTTTATCTTATCCCACCCATTCCAACCCACCCAACCCAATCCATCAATTCATTTGTTTCTGCGCATGCGGCGGGCCAATCCAATCCATCTTAGAATATCCAATCCACTTCATCGAATTCAACCCATCTTATCTTATCCAATCCATCTTATCCCATCCAATCCAATCCACCCAACACAATCCATCAATTCATGTTTGTCGGCGCCTGCGGCGGGCTTTCCTATCCAACCCAGCTTATGTTATCAAACTAATAGTGCGTAATTCAATACATCTTATCTGATCCAACCCATCTTGCCCCATCTTATATTATCCCATCCAATCCAAACCATCCAACCAAATCCATCAATTCATGTGTTTCTGTACCTGCGGTGAGACAATCCACTCCATCTTATCTTATCCAATCAATCTCTTCCCATCCAACCCACATTATCTTATCCAATCCATCTTATCCCATCCAATCCAATCCACCCAACACAATCCATCAATTCATGTTTGTCGGCGCCTGCGGCGGGCTTTCTTATCCAACCCAGCTTATGTTATCAAATTAATATAGCCCAATCCAATATATCTTATCGGATCCAACCCATCTTGTCCCATCTTATATTATCCCACCCAATACAGACCATCCAACCACATCCATCAATTCATGTGTTTCTGTACCTGCGGTGAGACAATCCACTCCATCTTATCTTATCCATTCATTATCTTCCCATCCAACCCATATTATCTTATCCAATCCATCTTACCCCATCCTATCCATCCAACACAATCCATCAGTTCATTTTTGTCGGCGCCTGGGCTGCAGAGACAGAGAGAGTGAGAGAGAGACAGGGAGAGAGATATGAGATCAAGGTGACAGGCTGGAGGTCAGTCAGGGTGGATATTTGATCTCAATCCCCCAAACCTCCTTATCGCCCGCAGGGCTGTCGTATAGGATATCTACATGTCGACATTATCATGGAAAGTGTATGCTGCAGCTGCTTCGTCGTCGTCGCCTTCCGCAGTTTGCGACCTGGACCAGCCCCGCCCCAGTTGGGCACAGCTTTGTTTGATGTGTTGGGCGAAGCCTTCGGTGGTATCACAGGCCCCTGACACTATCCTCGTGCACTGAGAGGTCCTGCCCACAGTCATCCCGTCTTGAGCAAGGGTGGTGTCTCCCGATTTGTTTGCTTTTATCGCCGCTCTTCTTGAGAAGCGCCCACTGCGTAGTCTCACGTGCAAAGTTCATTCGAGTTTGCATCGAATCTGGGTCGAGAGCTGTCCCGAGGGAGGCCCAAACAGCAGCGGATCCCAGCGCCTACGCAGCGCTGCCCTGATGAAGGTGTGTTCTGCATGAGTAACCTGTGCTCTTCAGTGCCGATGCGCCGTCGTGGCTTCAGGCCTGGCGATCGTGTTCTTATTCATTGTTTTGCCGATCGGCGCGGGCCCTCGCATCCCCCTCCCCCCCCATGGGGTAGATCTTGGCTTTCTTCGGCGCCTGTCTCGAGCAGGTGGAGTCTCCCCCATGGGACGCACTGTTGCAAGCAGTCGCGTGAAGCAGAAACTTGGAGCCAGACCCCCCCTCCCCCCCCTTCCGCCCAGTGCCGAAACGCCGAATGAATGAAAGCGCCCGCTCGCTCGCTCGCTCGCTTGCTCGCTTCCTTGCTTGCCTGCGTGCTCGCTTGCCCGCTTGCTTGCTTGCTTGCTCGCTTGCTTGTGCTCGCTTGCTCGCTCGCTCGCCTGCTTGCCTGCTCGCTTGCTTGCTTGCGGGCGTGCTCGCCTGCCTGCCTGCCTCGCTTCCGGCGGCGAGCCCAGGGGGGGAAGCTGGCGGGGGCAGGCCCCCGCAGAGGGCGGCGGGGCGCCCTCGGGGGGCGCGAGGGCTTCCGACGGGCTCTGCGAGTTTTCGGGGGAGGCCTTTGGGCCGAAAGTCGGGCATGCAGGAGGAATAGCCGAGAATTTTGTACAAACATGGCCTGGTGACGATGTTTCGTGCTTGTTTGCTTATATGGAACAGCTTGTTTTGAGTATTGTTACGATTATTATCACTATTATCATCATTATTTCTTCCAAGAACAGAAACTCCAAGATGCGCCTGCAGGAGGACATGCCTGACCCAACCCTGGACAACTCCTCGGGAGGCGCGATGGCTTCTGACGAGTCCCGCCGCCTTCAGAGAAGGCCCCGCCCCCGCTCACCTCCCCCCGGGTCGCCCCGGCCGATGCTCCCTCCGATATCCTGCTTTCGCGGGTTCGTAGAGGGAAGGTTTTCCCAAGGTGGGGCTGGGGAACGGGCCCGGCTGGATGCTCCTGTTTAGCGCGTTTCCTTCTCCCAGGGGCCGGTGGGAGCGTTTTTCCCTCCAACCCTGCCTGCGCCCCTGCCTTCCACCAGCCTGGTTCTCCCCCCCCCCGCCCGATGCCTGGCATCACAGCGGCTCCGACTCGGACGTCCCAGACCCCACTGCGTGCAAGACTCATATCCACATCCAGTGCTTCTTGGACTTTTTTGGACGCGGCGCCACAAGGCCGAGGCGCACTGGATATGGATAAAAATCGAGCCTCTAGGGGGCAAATCTATCCATATCCACTGCGCCTCGGGTTTCTTGGGAAGGGAGCCCCAAACTCCATACTGCAGTGGAAATAGACAGAAGTGTTGCCCGCACCCACTGCGGCAGGCAGCGCCCCGCGCCTCACCTCACTCCCCCCCCCCTCCCTCCCCTCGGCGCGCCGCCGATCTGCGACGCCGTGTTTTTTTTATTCCAGCGTGGACCCCCCAGAATCAGGAGGGGAAAAAACACACAGACATAATTAATCGTCGATTCCAAGGAAATATGGGAAAATATGGGAAGTGGGGGGGAAGACGAAGACCCAGAAAATATGGGAAAATATGGGGAATTCTTTTATTTGTGTGTGTTTACTTGTGTGTCCCAGGGCCCCATTCACAGAAGGGAGTCCCGACCCTTTCTCCAGGACCGTGTTTTTTTCATCATGGGTCGATCCGTTTCGGCTCCGGAGCCCAGCGAGGGCCCCACGAGGCCGCCGAGAGGGCCAACACTCTCCCCTCGTGCTTTTTTGTTCGCATGCAGAGAGGCGGCTGGAGTCCCCCTCTCGCTCTTCTCTCTGCAGGCCCCCCACGGTCGGGGGAACGTAAGACTCGAGTAAGCCGGAACTCGGGTTTGCCAACGTTTTTTGACGAGCGCGTCCTGGATTTTGACGGTCCCGTTCTCGTGGGGTGTTTGCAGCGGGAGCTCGCGTCAAATTTCAGATTGGGCCTCGTCATTTTTATTATGGCCCCGTCAGGCCAACCCGAGTCCCCCGTACCCGAGTCTTACGTCTCCCCGACACGGGAAATCCAGGGAGATGGGTCGGAGGATCGCGCGGCCTCGCCGATGTATCGGCGATGCGACTCGATGTAGAGTTAAGTCGGGCATGTCCCTCTACAGGAAGAAAAGTAACAAAATAGACAGAGGACGTGTGTCCACTGTTTTGGCTGATTTGAGTATTGCTGGACTATTTTTCATTGTTCTTTCAAGATCCGCCTGTAGGAGGACATGCCCGACCTAAATGTGAGCCCGATGTTATCCGCGCCGACCGCGCCGATACATCGCCGACGCATCACTGATGCGTCGACAGCATCTACCTGGACCCCGTGTGCAGTCGGAGTCCATGATCGGGTGCACCTTTCCACATCGCGCCGACCGCGCCGATGTATTGCCGACGCATCGCCGATGCGTCGACACCATCTACCCGGACCCGGTCTGCAGTCGGAGTCCATGATCAGGTGTACACAGCCAAAGCATGGGTCTTGCTGTATCCTGCGCGTCGTTCCTCTCCCGTGTTCTTTTTTTGTTGGGAGCCATGGTGCCTTCGTGACAGGAGCGGCCGGCCTCATTATGATATCTCCCCGCTCTCTTCTCGTGCCAGCGCTTTGGCGCCCACACGCCGTACCCTCGTAGGTGCCTCTATGCGGGACTGTGCTTTACAATTTGTGTGCTGTGCATTCTGCGCTCGGAGGGCCCTGGAAACGGCAGGGCAGGGTTTTTGCGAGTTCCGTGCTGTATTCTTCTTGGGGGTTCCAGCGCAGTTGTTTCCTCGCCCCGTCGCAGCTTTTCCCAGCTCTGGCTCCCGTTCCAAACCCCGAGCTGTTTGTTCACCGATTCGGGAAGTTGTTTTGTTCAAAGTTCTGTGTGTATGTAAAATCATATACATACGTGTGTATATATAAATATATATAAATATACACATACATGTGTACATAGGTGTGTATACAGAATGGCCTTCGGCCACTTCGGAGCGCTCTCGTGGCGGTCTCGGGGGCAGTGTAGAGGCTTCTTGCTTAGGAGCCTCCAGACGACCTCTTGGTATCGTCTTGGGGGCCTCTTGGGGGCTCCTAGGGGTCTCTCGGGGCTGAGGGCTCGAAATGTCCGTGCGGGTCCCCCGTCTGGGCCACCTCTTGGAGCTCGTGGGCCGTCTTTGAAGCCTCTTCGGCAGTTAGGCGACCCTCTTGGGCCGTTTTGGAGCCCTCTTGGATGACTCTTCGGCTGTCTTGGGGCAATGTTGGGGGCCTATTGGGCCGTCTTGGAGCATCGGGAAGCCGAACGCCAAAGTCAGTCAACAATCATACGAACATCAATGGTTATTGCCAATTGCCTCTTGGCGCTTTCTTGGGAGTGCTCTGCGAGGCCTCTTGGGTGTCTTCGATGTTTATTGGGCCGTCTGGAGGCCATCGTGGGTATCTTGGAGCGATCTTTTGGTGATTCGGGGCCTTCCTGGACTGCCTGGGCGGCCTCCGAGAGCTCTCGTGGCACGTTTGGGGGCCCTCTCTGAGCGAGGGGACGTCCCGGGGGCCCACGCAAGAGGCCTGGGCAGCGCCAGGTGCTGCTCGGCAGCGCCGCGAAAACGGAGGGTCTGGGGCCGCAAGAGGCGTACAAACCCTTTCCCTCTCCTCCTCTCCCTCCCTCTCCTCCTCCCCCTCCCCCTCCTCCTCCTCCTCCTCCTCCCTCCTCTCCTCTCCTCCTCCTCCCTCCTCCTCCTCCTCCTCCTCCTCCTCCTCCTCCTCCTCCTCCTCCTCCCCCTCCCCCTCCCCCTCCCCCTCCCCCTCTCCCTCCCCTCCCCCTCCTTCTCCTCCTCCTCCTTCTCCTCCGCCTCCGCCTCCTCTTCTTCGCCAGACGCACGTTGGCGGATACCTATGTGTACTAGTTTTCACGCCCCAGAGCAATCGTATTGAAAACGACGGGGACATCTCGATGCGTGTTTCCAGGGGGTGTCACGAGGGTCCCGTCCGGTTTATGCCAGGGCGCGAGCTGAACGGTGTTTGGGCGAATTCGTGGGCTGTTTTCGTTTCGCTTCCGTTTTTCAGTCAAGGCGGAGAGAAAAGACAGAACGGGGGAAAACAAAACAAAACGAAACCAGAACGCTGAGTTCACCTCGAAGCTTGCTCAATTCTGTCCGCACGAAGCCTTTTCCCCTTCGTGGGCCGCGAAAGCGGCATGGCCCCTTTGTGCTCTTTTCAAAAGCTTGTTTCTGTAACATGAAAACGGATAACATACAATATCGGAAACGATGAAAACGTGCTCCGGGATCGGAACTGGAACCAGAAGCGAGCAACACAGCGGCGACGGGGCCGGGAAACAGACGGCACGGGGGTCGGCCAGAACGATTGCAGAACGAAATTAGTAAGAACAGCGGTTTGGTCGCTTCCAGGGCCCGCTGAGCTCTCTCTCAGGAGGGGAAATGACACAGAGACACAGTTCATCAGCGACTCCCAGGGCAAGAGGAGGAAGTGTGCGAAGTGGGGAGGACGACGAGGCCCCAGAGATTGTGGGGAGCCACTGGGGAATGCGGGGATTGGTGTCTGCTTCTTTGTGTGTCCCTTGCGGGCAATACTTATATTCATATCCAGAGCGTCGTGGACTTGTTGGGAAGGGGTGCCGCAAGGCCGAGCCACACTGGATATGGATAAACATCAAAAACCTTCCGGGGCAAGATTTTATCCATATCCAGTGCGCCTCCAGCTTCTGGGGATGAGAGCCCAAAGATCCAAGACGCACTGGATGTGGATATAACTATTGCCCGCATCCCAGGGCCCGCAGAGCAGCTCTCTCTCTCTCTCTCTCTCTCCCCTCCGGGGCGGGGCGGCCCGGCGCGCGGCGAGGTCCTGGGATCGCCGCGAGGACTTCGGGGGCGGAAAAGAGGGGGGTGATGACTAGTTGGGGGTGGATATCATGGCGGGGGCCATGATATTTCCCCAGATCTCATGGCGCCCCTTCTTCTTTCTTTACGTCCCTGGCCCCCCCGCTGGGCCGCGCACATGCCGCCGGTCATGATCTGCACCCCCCCCTCTTGGACACCCCCCTCTTGGCCGCTCCCGAGGACTGGGGGCCCGCCGAGGACTGGGGCCGTGGCGCACGAGGCGCGGCCCCTGCCTCTGTCGCGCGCGCGCGAGCGGTGCGCTCCGGCCGGGGCGCCACACGGAGGTGGTCGGGAGTCGGGCGTGCCCCCTTCTGAAGGAGGACGATTCTCAGGAGGGGAAAAATCACCACCCACCAAACCACCCCAACCCAACCCGAAGGCTTCAATTTGCCCTCCATTTCCAGTGGGGGATCGGGGAACATCGAAAAATGACATGGTCCCCGTACCCCCTCCCAACCCGAAATTCGGGTCAAATTCGTGTCTTCGGGTTGGGTTGGGGTGGTCTGGTAGGTAGTCAAAAAAACACACAGACACAATTAATCGTTCACTCCCAGGAACATCTGGGAAAATACGGGAAGTGGGGGGGAAGGGAAGAACTCAAAAACAAATTTAAAATATGGGGAATTATTTTTTTGTGTGCATTTATTTGTGTGTCCTTGGGCCCCTTCATATTCAGAGGTAGTAACAAGATGTTCTGGGGACGATTTGTTGCTCATTCTTGCCGAGTGCGTGTTTCTTGAGTAAGGTTCGTCCAGAAAGCTGCCAGTGGGAGGCCATGCCCGACCTGAAGGTGATCAGGGGGCGGCCAAGAGGGGGGTGATGACTGGGGGCGGCCAAAAGGGGGGGTGATGACCAAGGGGGGACTGGATATCATGGCAGGGGCCATGATATTTCCACAGGTCTCATGGCGCCTCTTTTTATCTCAATGCGTCCCCGGCCCACCCCCTTGGTCGCGCACGTGCCACCGGTCATGATTGGCGCCCCCCCCTCTCGTGGACGCCCCCCCTCTTGGACGCCCCCGCGATGAGCGGGTCTTTCATCGAGGATATGAGAGACCCTGATAGCACAGTGAAGACGTGGCCTCACTCAGGCCCCCGTCTTCACATTCAGGGATCATAGATTTGGGCGGTTGGGTCCGATATATTTATGCTGAAAAGGCCCCCTATCCTGTATGTTTCTGGCCCTCTGACCTTAGGTCCCCTACCCAAGCATTAGGGGTAATTGTATTGCTTATCAAGGGAAGATTGGGTGTTGTCTTCAGGTGAGCTTTGGAAAAAGACGGGGTCGTATTCGCCGACATTGGCGCATAAGCTGCCCGCGTAAGGTCGCGCGTAAGCGCCCTCGGTTCCAGCGCAGCGTGCCGCGCTGGCGGCCCGCGGGAGCAACCGCGTAAGGTCGCGATGCCACCTCGCGTAAGACCCGTTTTGATCGTCGCTCAGTTGGTGTTGACAACGCTGGGGGCGTTTTGCTGTTTTCTGCAACTTTCTGGCCCACCAGGTTGGGGCATAACGAAAAAACACGGCAGCCCAAAAAGCAGGCAAACGACGACGGCCCGCCAGTGGGGTTCAACAGTATTCACAATAGTTGACGCATGGATGCAGTAGTTTGCGGTTCGGCCGGATTCGCTGCGCGTGGATGGCAGCCGTGCGTTCTCTCCAAAACGCAAAAGTAAGTTCGCGCTCCCCAGCTGCACTCGAGACTCAGTAGTTGCGGCCCACATCGCAGCAGCTTAACGACGAATGGGTCTAGGCCTCCAAGATGTAGTCCGAGCAGATGGGGTCCGAGGACTGCGCCGTATCGCCGATTCATCGCCGATGCGGCTGGATGTCGAGACGGGTGTTTTCCACGCGGACGGCGCCGCTGCTTCTCCGACCTCGTCAATGCGTCGCCGATGCTTTGTCCATGCGGTGCGACCCTCCGACCCCATCTGCTTGGACTCCAGTTGGGAGGGCCGTCTGAGGAATTGGCAGCACTTCTCCTGATGGCCTCTAGCGGGGTTTCAGGGGGCCCGCTCACCACCATTGCTCTTGCTTTCGGTTTCGGCCTCATCTGGCGAAGGACCCAACCACATGTAGTTGTGAGTGCCGAGTTGCGGGTACTGCTTTCGATGGAGCTCCCTATGGGGCCACGAAACGTGTGAGGTGTGTGTTTGTGTGTGCCAAACTTGGGCGGGCAACCGCATGTGGACCCTGCCGCTGGGGCCTTCGGTGGAGCTCCATCCACATGCGGCCACGAAACGCGTGAGGCGTATGTCCAAATGGACGGAAGCCGCATGGGCCCGGCCACTGGGGCGCTCGGTGTAGCTCCGTATGGGGCCACGAACCGTGTGAGGGGTGTGCCCGAATGGGCGGGGAACCGCATGCGGACCCTGCCACTGGGGCCTTCTGTGGAGGTCCTATGAGGCCACGAAGCGTGTGAGAGGTGTGCCGAAATTGGTGGCGAACTGCATGTGGGCATCTATTGCGTGAAACCCCGCCCGGCGCAGCAAGATACAGAACTCGCATCCCGGGCGCGGTTCCCAGAACGGCTTTTGGGCAGGCCCAAGCCAGCTCCAGCTTCGGACAGCAGCGCGGGTGTCCGTGTGTGGCTCGCCCGTCAGCCAGGTTGCGCTGGGCCTCATGCTCCTGCACCTGACACGTGTGCGCCTCGGCTTTTCTTTCCTGAACGAGACGGGCCAACACCCAGTCTACCCGTCTGCTTACGCCAGGAGGTGGACAATCGCCTGAACGTGTCCTTGCCTAGCGCTTCGCGATGGTGCCGCCACCTCCCTGCTGCAGAAACAATGTGCGTGTGCATGCAGATCTGCATGCGCAGGTGCGTTGCGTCAGCGTGTGCAGACGGCAACGGATGGCCTTCGGCCCATCCCGCCACTATGCCTGGGTCGTGGACGAGGAGCCTGGATGCCTCGATGAGGTCTCCCGGGAACCCTAAACCCGAAACCCGAAAGGCCTCTTGGAAGCGTTGTGGGGGCAGGTGGATGGCCTCGTGAAGGTCTCCGCTGGGCCTCCTGGAAGCCGCCTCACGGGGTCCTCCCGGGGCGTCTTCGGTGCGTCTCTTCGGGGCTGCCGGCGGTCTCGGAGGCCGTCCTGGGGCAGAGCGGTCTCGGAGGCCGCCTTGGGGCAGGGTGCACCCCCAAAGACTCCTTCGAGCCCCCCCATCTTGGGCCAATCGTTTTGTTTTTGCTCGGGGGTCCCATCGTGCCTTGCTTCAGGGTTTAGGGTATTTTCGAGCGCTGTGTGGTCTCCTTTGGTCCGTATGAGGCGCCCTGAGTGAAGACGGACAAGGCCAGTCTGCGAAATCGCGCAGTCATTTTGTTGGTTTTTTGGTGAGTTCGGCTTTTGGGGCCAGCAACCAGCGCCTCGATAAGGCCAAGGAGGCTCCCAGCTGAGCCCCAGGGACAGTCTGGATTCGGAGCCGCGCCCCCGAGCCCTCGGACAGGAGTAGCGCGGCACGCCTAGGAACGCAGAGAAGTTGCGAGATTCGGGGGAGCGGGAAGGCTCCGCGGCACGGTGGTGGAAGTGTGCATGCACGCGTGTTCGCGCATGCCCAATGTACGCGCGAATGTGTGCCCGCATGCACGTGCGTGCGTGCGTGCGTGCGTGCGTGCGTGCGTGCGTGCGTGCGTGCGTGCGTGCGTGCGTGCGTGTGTGTGTGTGTGTGTGTGTGTGTGTGTGTGTGTGTGTGTGTGTGTGTGTGTGTGTGTGTGTGTGCGTGCGTGTGTGCGTGTGATGATTCGGACATGCTGCTGTGCAGGTGTATATGGGAACATGGATCACACATGCTGGTATGACGGTGCATGTGTATACCTATGCGCATATATGTACGCGTGCGCGTGCGATTGATTGCAAGAATGTGTTATGCCTATGTGTCGACATGGTTGTACTCGACGCCGCGTGCTCGTACGCGGGTGCGACATATGCATGTGCTGGAACACGTCTGTGCCGCCTGCGGGAGGAAGGAGGAGCAGACGGTGAGCCGGGTGGGGTCGGGGGGTAGACGCAGGGAGAACGAGGAGGAAAAGGAGACAGAGGAGACGAAGCCCTCTTCCTCTCGTGCTGCTTCCGACGCTTCGAATGCTTGGCATATGCTCAATTGTTTCTCCTGAGCCGTCCTGGTTCAAATTGACAGTCCAGGGCGTGCCCGAGAAACTGAACATTCACCGATACACGTTCGAGCGATGCTCAGAAAACCAAGTGAACATAAACTCCTCGCTGCGATGGCGCTTTCGGTCGCCTGCAGAGTTGGCGCCGACATGCAGTTGATACAGGTTGTCATGCAGCCTTTCGCGAGCTGCCGCACCGTGGTCGCGGGCGACCCGTGCTACGAGAAAGTGACGTGGGCGATGCAGAAGGGGGTTGCAAAACACCCGGATTGGTATCTCCCGTTGACACCAAATTCGAGTTTTGAGGATTTCCAGCGGCATTTGCACAGCACGGCAAGGTTGTCCGACGTGTGCCCTGAGCCTTGCCCAGCAGGCATGGGAGCAGACGGTTGCCACACATCCGTCCAGGGCGACGCGTGCTACGAGAAAGTGTTGTGGGCGATGAAAACAGGCGTCGAGAAGCACCCTGACTGGTATCGGAACTTGAGCAAGGACTCTAGTTTTGAGGACTTCCAGCTGCACTTGCACAGCTCAGCCAGGCTGTCCTCTGTCTGCCCCAAGCCATGCTCCGCACCAGAGGCGGCAACGTCACGGACTTCAGCAGAGACCGACGGCTTCACGGACCCAGGGGGCGTTGTCTTCAACGAAATCTTGATAACATTTCCCCCCTTCCTATGCAAGTTTTTGTCACCCGTTTCCTGCGCGTGTGTCCCCTCCTCCCCCTTGTATTTGGGAATCTTTGCACCGGGAACATTGGAAGGCATGTTGTCACACGGATGATTTTGAACATCTTCCCCGTAGGATTTCAACGGCCGCCCGGCGGAGACGCCGGAGCCGACGATGGAGCCGGGGGTTCCATGTCTTTGCAATAGCACTGACCCGTGCCCCGCGTTCGCATATTTTGACTTCGACGGTAGCGGCTGTCTTTCGGATGCAGAGGCCGCTCTGGTGGACGAAATGGTTGCGCCTTATGATCAGTATGACCTGGACGGAGACGGCTGCATCAACGATACGGAGGCAATTTGCGGTAATCCGAGCACTGTCGACAGCTGTGATTGTGGACAGTATATGGCGCCTGGCACGACCGTTTGCCAATCATGCAGCGGGGAAACAAGGCGTCGTCGCACGTCTGAGTGCGACGGATGCGCTACTGGCAAATTCGCCGTTGCTGGTTGCGACGAGTGTATGGAGGATGATGCTATGTACCTTACCGCGGGTGCAAATGTGAGCGACACCAGGATCTATGTCAACAAGGACACAGATTTGGGCGGATTCGCCTTGACCTTTGGGGATTCAATTACGATTTCTAAGTGTTGCTGTGAAAGTGCTAGCGACCACGGCACGTTTGTCATCACAGGCGCCGCGCCCACCACCCCGGCCCTGTCCTTCGACATTCCAGCATTAACTATGGATTTCAGCCAGTTCGACCGTGTTACCAAGACCTGCTCTTCGACCGATGGAGTGGGCTATCCAAGCTCTTTCCCGTGCGGGTGTGGCTCCGAAGTTTGCGGCGAGTCGACGAAGTGCGACATCAGTGGCAATGGTGGGTGCGGAGCCTGCATCCCCACCGTCTTGCCGACACCAGCCCCCACAGTGTCTGCCAGGGGCGACCCGCACCTGGTCAACCTGGCCGGGGAGCACTTTGACGTCAACCATGGGGGCGAGTTCACTCTGCTGAGGATCCCGCAAGCCACCACAAAGCCCGTGGAGATGGAGCTAAAGGCCTCCATCCTCCCTGAGCACGGGAAGCCGTGCACTACGTACATCACGGAGGTTGAGGCTTCAGGTGCTTGGCTCGGCGGCAAGGTCGTGCAGGTGCGTTCCTACCTCAGGTCGCACGCCACGAATGAGACCGACAAGTTTCTGGGCCTCCGGGTGCTGAGTGAGGGCGCGCCGGCCGAGGCCACGTGGGAGAGGCTCACGCAGTGGACCGAACAGCCCTACGTCCTCTCAGAGCCTCAGGGAGCGAAGGGCTTCCGCGTGACCTTGTCCACGTCTCACTGGCACAGCAAGAAGGGCGGTGGGGAGGACGTGCCGACCGTGGCAGGGCAGGTCGAGATCCAACTGCAGAGCAAGTGGTTGAATAGTACCGCGGTTCTCATCTTACGTCAGGACCTGCCCAGGCAGGAGCATTTGAACCTGGCCATGAGGCGCCTGAGCGCGCTCGGTCGCGCCGACGTCGGTGGCCTGCTCGGGTTCGACGCGCACCCCGAGTCCCTGGAGGATGTCACGCCTGAGTGCCAGCGCCACAGGGATGGGCTCGACAAGGACATGGGCCCCCACTCCAAGCCCGCCTGGAAGAGCCGCTGGGAGAAGATTAAGTCGCAGCGGTTCAAGCACGACGATAACGAGGCGGTTGCTAGCCTCCTCGGTGGCAGGGATATGATGTGCGTGTGCCCCAACGCTCACGCAGGCCTCGCTGATGGCGTGATCGACGACGGGGCCGTGGAGGGTGTCATGGTGGAGTTCCAGACCGGCAGGCTCGCCGAGGCGACGTGGGATTGAGGAGTCGGGGACCCGCGCGGTGCAGACCGGCAACCTCGCAGCTCCTGTGGGACGTCCCCGCTCGATGTTCACGGTGCAGGCAACACCCCAAAGGCATTCGTGCTTGAAGTGGCCGTCGTCTTTGCTTTTGCCTTCCGCGTTCACTCCCTGGCATGCTTTTCCCTACCGCGGTTCTTTTTCCCTGCACGCAAGTCTGGCGTGCAGAGTATATGGTCATGCTTGCTTTCCTGAGTTGTGGATAAGCCTGGACGAAGCTTTCTGCTTGCAGAAAAAAACACCAGAGCGGGTGACTTTGAGGCTTTGCGGTGCCAGCCGCCTCTGACCACATGCGAACCCTACCCCCGCGGATCCCATCGACGCTGGGGTATCGAGGGTGTCACTTTGCTGCAGACACTTTTCGAATTCTTAGCACCAGCTGGCGTTTTAGAAATCTGACATGCAAAGGCAGGGTTCTCATGTGGTTGCCTAGTCCGCTCTCACACCCCGCAGGGCTGAGCGCTGCGTGACTTCGGGGGTCTGTCTATCTGTCCCACCTTCACTCATGGTCACGATGTCGCCCCCAAGAGACGGAAACAGAGACCGCCCAGTTAGCGTTGACAATGCGCATGTTTGTTATCGCCGCGGGGTGAAGGAACAAGGGCCGTCTTTCCGAAGCACCTTGGTCGTCTTGCAGGCATCCTTGGACCACCTTGGAGGCTAGCTTTGGCAATCGTAGCCGTCTCGGAGACCATCCGAGCGACGTCTGAAAACGGAGACGACTGCGCCGACATTGGCGCGCCAGCTGCCTGCGCAAGGTCGCGCGTAAGCGCCCTTGTCTCCAATCTGGCGTGCCGCTCTGGCTGCCCGCGTAGGTCACCGCGTAAGGTCGCTGCGCCATCTCGTTCAAGACACCTTTGTTGCTCGATGCTCATCTGTCTTGGGCCCGTCTTGTGGCCTGCGGGTCCTCCATTTCGGCCGTCTAATCGGCCAGACGCTCGAAATGGCGAGACGGCTCAAATCACGTGAAAGCATTGACAATCCGTGAACGTGAACATCCTGGCTGCAGGTGCGTCTTGGAGACCTGGGCCGCCTTGGCGACAGCTTAGGTCGTCTAGGCCGTGATCGGGCGTCTTGAGGCAATGCTGGGCCGTCCTGGAGGCATCTCGCGCGAACTTGGAGGCCGTTCTGGCCGTCTATGATGACGTGCTCGGCCGTCTTGGGCCAAGCAATTGTCTTGGAGTCTATCTTGCTGCCATCTTGGGCGGGGAAGCCACTCGGCGCCGAGCTTGGTGAGTTGATTATCTGGGTGTCTGGCGGGATCGGCCGAGACCCCATCGGGAACCTGCTGGGAGAGTTGGGAGAACATAGGCGTCGAGCGCGCCGTGCTCCCCTGCGACAAACACGCTCGGCATCGCTCGGACGTGTGCATTTTTTCTTCGGCGGGGACCATGGAGGATCATCCTCCATCATTTGGCGAAACAAACACGCACGAAACCTACAAAAAACACAGGGAATGGACGTCCGAGCGATGGCGAGTAGGTGTCGAGCGCGCCGTGCCCCCCTGCGACAAACACGGGGGCTGCGGATCTTGTGGCCTTCGGCCCATCCTGGCGCCGCGCCCGGGGTGCAGGTTCGAGGCCGCTCGTAGTCGGGATTTTTTTGGGGGGGCCTCTCGGGAGCCTCTCGGATGCAGGTTTTCGAGTGCACGTGGGCCGATGCTGCGCCTGTTGGGGGCTCATTGGGGTCCCTTTGGGGTTGCTTGTGGCCATCTCGGGGCCCTCTTGGACATTCTAGGGGGCCTCTTGGGGCAGTCTTGGTGCCCTCTCGCCTCCTGAAAAATCATGTGGGGGCACGCGGACAGCCCAAGGAGCGTCTGTAGTTCTGGGCTGCAGGTCAACGAGTATAACATTATTCCATACAGAGGACGAAGGACCTGAGGGCACTTCGACTCGTGTCTCGAGACACGGGGGCGAACTTGGACGACAATCACATATTTAATTGGTGTTGGTGTTCCTTCTCATCCTCTTCTGCGCTCGTCGTTCTGGCTCATGCGCGCTGGGTGAGACCAGGGCTTGCCCATGCAACTTAACATAAACTAGCACACTTCCGATCCATATTAAGCAGGATGATTGGACATAAGTTGTTCAATGCGATGGCATTCGCTGTCGCCTTCAGAGTTGGCGCCGACATGCAGTTGATACAGGTTGCCCTGCAGCCTTTCGCGAGCTGCCGCACCGTGGTCGTGGGCGACCCGTGCTACGAGAAAGTGACGTGGGCGATGCAGAAGGGGGTTGCAAAACACCCGGATTGGTATCTCCCGTTGACACCAAATTCGAGTTTTGAGGATTTCCAGCGGCATTTGCACAGCACGGCAAGGCTGTCCGACGTGTGCCCTGAGCCTTGCCCAGCAGGCATGGGAGCAGACGGTTGCCACACATCCGTCCAGGGCGACGCGTGCTACGAGAAAGTGTTGTGGGCGATGAAAACAGGCGTCGAGAAGCATCCTGACTGGTATCGGAACTTGAGCAAGGACTCGAGTTTTGAGGACTTCCAGCTGCACTTGCACAGCTCAGCCAGGCTGTCCTCTGTCTGCCCAAAGCCATGCTCCGCACCAGAGGCGGCAACGTCACGGACTTCAGAAGAGACCGACGGCTTCACGGACCCAGGGGGCGTTGTCTTCAACGAAATCTTAATAACATTTTCCCCCCTCTCCTTTTCCAGTTTTTTCGCCCGTTTCCTGCGCGTGTTTCCCTTCTTCCCCCTTGTCTTCGGAAATCTTTGCACGGGGAGCATTGGAAGGCATGTTGTCACACGGATGATTTTGAACATCGTCCCCGCAGGATTTCAACGGCCGCCCGGCGGAGACGCCGGAGCCGACGATGGAGCCGGGGGTTCCATGTCTTTGCAATAGCACTGACCCGTGCCCCGCGTTCGCATACTTTGACTTCGACGGTAGCGGCTGTCTTTCGGATGCAGAGGCCGCCCTGGTGGACGAAATGGTTGCGCCTTATGATCAGTATGACCTCGACGGAGACGGCTGCATCAACGAGACGGAGGCAATTTGCGGTAATCCGAGCACTGTTGACAGTTGTGATTGTGGACAGTATATGGCGCCTGGCACGACCGTTTGCCAATCATGCAGCGGGGAAACAAGGCGTCGTCGCACGTCTGAGTGCGACGGATGCGCCACTGGCAAATTCGCCGTTGCTGGTTGCGATGAATGTATGGAGGATGATGCCATGTACCTCACCGCGGGTGCAAATGTGAGCGACACCAGGATCTATGTCAACAAGGACACAGATTTGGGCGGATTCGCCTTGACCTTTGGGGATTCAATTACGATTTCTAAGTGCTGCTGTGAAAGTGCAAGCGACCACGGCACGTTTGTCATCACAGGCGCCGCGCCCACCACCCCGGCCCTGTCCTTCGACATTCCAGCATTAACTATGGATTTCAGCCAGTTCGACCGTGTTACCAAGACCTGCTCTTCGACCGATGGAGTTGGCTATCCAAGCTCTTTCCCGTGCGGGTGTGGCTCCGAAGTTTGCGGCGAGTCGACGAAGTGCGACATCAGTGGCAATGGTGGGTGCGGAGCCTGCATCCCCACCGTCTTGCCGACACCAGCCCCCACAGTGTCTGCCAGGGGCGACCCGCACCTGGTCAACCTGGCCGGGGAGCACTTTGACGTCAACCATGGGGGCGAGTTCACTCTGCTGAGGATCCCGCAAGCCACCACAAAGCCCGTGGAGATGGAGCTAAAGGCCTCCATCCTCCCTGAGCACGGGAAGCCGTGCACTACGTACATCACGGAGGTTGAGGCCTCAGGTGCTTGGCTCGGCGGCAAGGTCGTGCAGGTGCGTTCCTACCTCAGGTCGCACGCCACGAATGAGACCGACAAGTTTCTGGGCCTCCGGGTGCTGAGTGAGGGCGCGCCGGCCGAGGCCACGTGGGAGAGGCTCACGCAGTGGACCGAACAGCCCTACGTCCTCTCAGAGCCTCAGGGAGCGAAGGGCTTCCGCGTGACCTTGTCCACGTCTCACTGGCACAGCAAGAAGGGCGGTGGGGAGGACGTGCCGACCGTGGCAGGGCAGGTCGAGATCCAACTGCAGAGCAAGTGGTTGAATAGTACCGCGGTTCTCATCTTACGTCAGGACCTGCCCAGGCAGGAGCATTTGAACCTGGCCATGAGGCGCCTGAGCGCGCTCGGTCGCGCCGACGTCGGTGGCCTGCTCGGGTTCGACGCGCACCCCGAGTCCCTGGAGGATGTCACGCCTGAGTGCCAGCGCCACAGGGATGGGCTCGACAAGGACATGGGCCCCCACTCCAAGCCCGCCTGGAAGAGCCGCTGGGAGAAGATTAAGTCGCAGCGGTTCAAGCACGACGATAACGAGGCGGTTGCTAGCCTCCTCGGTGGCAGGGATATGATGTGCGTGTGCCCCAACGCTCACGCAGGCCTCGCTGATGGCGTGATCGACGACGGGGCCGTGGAGGGTGTCATGGTGGAGTTCCAGACCGGCAGGCTCGCCGAGGCGACGTGGGATTGAGGAGTCGGGGACCCGCGCGGTGCAGGCAATACCCGAAAGGCAATCGGGTTTTTGAAGTGGACGTCTTCTCTTTCTTGCCCTCCCTCGTTCACTCTCTTTCATGCTCATCCGCACTCTGCTCCTCTTTCCTCCGCCCTTGTTCACGATGTCGCCTGCCAGCAGTGACAGCGAGAGGACCGAATTTCAAATCTGACAAGCACACACATACATTCACGTACACATGCATATCTCCATATATATACATATGTATGCGGAATTGAAGGGACCAGACCGTTTTACACCATCCTTGTGTGCTTGGGTGAAGTGAGATTCCGAGGCTCAAATTTTGCTTGTTGAAGTTGTAGAGCTTTCAATTTTATAGAGTCGGCACTCTTGATCCCCCCATCCGGTGCCCATTGCCCAATGTTTTTTTCAATTGAAGTGCCCCTCCCAGGGCTCGCTCCCTGTTCTTCTGCACGCGGCAGTCTTGGGCCTCAGACTGCGGTGTCGGCTCCCGAACAATCACAACAACACTAAACAACAAACAAACACCAATTATTTTAAGTGTGTTCGCTCTTGCTTACTTGATTGCATGCCTTTCAACAAGTATATTACAAACCCTCGATAACCGCCCTCTTCGTCTTCGATCTTACCCCCTTAGTGCATCTCTCTTACCTGCAACGTGTATTTCCTGGAGCCCGTAAGGCAGGGGAAGAGAGGACGGATGGAAGGCAGGGACAAGGGGCAGGCGGGCTGCTGAAGCGTGCGTCTTGCATATGTCGCGATGGAGTCTCGAGCGATAGCGCGATTTCCAAATACATCGTGAGAATATCCACACAATGAGCGTGATGCCTGAGTGTCGAGAGCGCGGCGGCTGAGTAAATTGGGGAAGTCGCACGCGAGAGCGCAACTCCTGTATAAAGAATGACGAAGTGCTGCGCGAATGCGCGATCAGAGGAAGTCTCAGGCGGGAGCCGCTGTTGTTGTAGACTGGGGGCGAAGGGCACAGCTTGGAGGCACTGTGGACATGCCTGGGGAGGGTTGGAGGCGCCCCGGGGTCAGCGCCAGATGTCTTTGGAGGTGCGTCGTGGCGTCGGAGGACCCCAGAGGTCGAAACGGGGGAAGGGGAGGAGGAGGGGGGGGGGGGAAATCGGAGGCTCCGGAGCACCCGGAGACGGCCGCAGTGGCGAGGCACAGGGAGAAGTTGTCGCCAGAGGCGCCGGACTGCTCCAGAGGCGTTTCGGGGTTCCAGAGGTTGTCGGAGGTCGAAGTGGCCGAGGAGGAGGAGGAGGAAGAGGAGTCAGGAGTCAGGAGTCCCAGGACGAAGGCCAGAAAACAAAACACTAGGACCCCTTGTGGGTCCCTGTGCCGCGAGCTCGGCTTTACCGTAATCCTTTGGGAAAAGGCCCCGCTCGATACGATTCAAATACTCGGCACGGGTGTTGGTAACCATATTGGGGCACACCTCACCGAGACCTAACAACGCTTATCCCCAAACATACCACAAGACGCGCAAAACCAAATACAGGAGGAGGAGGAGGAGGAGGAGGAGGAGGAGGAGGAGAAGCAGGAGGAGGGGGGGAGGGGGAGGGAGGGGGAGGGGGAGGGGGAGGGGGAGAGGAGGGGGAGGGGGGGAGGGGAGGGGGAGGGGGAGGGGCAGGGGAGGGGGGAGGGGGAGGGGCAGGAGGAGGGGGAGGAGGAGGAGGAGGAGGAGGGAGGAGGGAGGAGGAGGAGGAGGAGGAGGAGGAGGAGGAGGAGGAGGAGGAGGATAAAACGGAGGCTCCCGAGAAACTGAAGCTCCCAGAGTTTTCGGAGGCGGGCGGAGTGGCGAAGCATAGGGAGGGGTGCGCGCCAGAGGCGCTGGACGGTTCCAGAGGCGTTTCGGGCTTCCGGAGGTTTTTGGAGGTCGCATTGGAGGAGGAGGGAGGCGGAGGAGGAGGAGGAGGAGGGCGAGGCAAAAACAGAGGCTCCAGAGCGTATCGAGCTTCCGGAGCTTCCGGAAGCGGGCGAGCTCCGCTTTGTAAGAATCAGGGTGCGAACCCCGGGAGAAGCACTCGAACTGAAGAATACAATGGTTACCGGGCAGGGGGGCCAACACTAACCATCTTGTAGAAATGGTGACTCCAACAACAACAAAAAACAACCACAACAACGGTTCCCGCCTTGACCTTCTCACATTATATTGCCCTCTTGCGCGGAATGCTTCGCACAATGTATGCAGGAATCGCGCTCTTGCGTGGGCCTTCCTTGCAATTCATAAGCTGCGCCTGCGATGCTCAGGAATCGCACCCTCGCTTTTGAAGTCCTCACGATTTGCGTGAGAATCGCTCGACACTTCCCTTCAGCGACCCGACCGCTCGACTTGGTCGCCTGGGCCCCCCCGCCCGGCCCGCCCGTTTGGGTCCGCCCGCCCGACCCTGTCCGTCTGGTTCTGACAGTTGTTCCAAACCCTCCTGCTCTGGGTGCTTGTTTCGAACAGAGCAGTGCGGTTCCCACTCCCGTCTCCTGTACCCCTTTTCCTACCTGCACGCTGGCCTGCCCTCTGCCCCACCTCCCACCTGCCTGCTACCCCGCCTCCTCGCCCTCGCCGGGGGCCTGCGATCTGCGAAACGGTCGCCTCTTTCCAGGATTGTTGGGGGGTCTAGCGGCTGTGTTGGCACCGAACACTGTCCTGGACGTTTCGGGCATGTTCCGGACAGCCCTGTTCTTCCAGACGTTCCGGACAGACGGCTGTCCCAAGCCTTCTTGGGAATTTGCGTTCTTTGGGGGCGCGCCAGCGACCTCAGCGTGGGGGCCTTGCACGGGCTCCGCGGCGGCCGAGGGGCGTACGATTCGATGGCCGTTGGCGCCGCATCGCCAGAATCTGTACATTTTTGCGGAGGTGGCGGAGAAGGATGATGAGCAGGAGGAGGTCGAAAAGGAGGTCTTAGAACATAGCGTTTCCATTGGGTGAGGAGGATGTGCTTGTTTACTGGTCAGCTCATTGTCTTGTAAGATATGACATTAATCCGTTCTCGTGCAAATCCCCCTTCGGAATTTTGCATGGTTCGAATGATTTCGGCATGCGGCGCCGGCAGCGGCAGCCACCGCACATCCAGAAGGCCCGCTTCCTGAACCAAGCTCTTCGAAGATCGCGATCGGCGGTTCAGGTTGAGCCCAGCGAAATGCAATGATCTATGCGAAGCAGCTTGCTAAGGAGGCGAATAGAGTTATGTGAAAGTACCCCTAAGAGCCAATCGTTGCGGAATCTGAGAGTTCATACACAGACCGACGGCGGCATGAGTTCGGACTGCCACGAATGAGGGGAGTTATTGATCGTTACTCATGGCCCAGAGAATAAAACCCCTACTGTTTTGCTCTGTCAGCCGCAGCATGTATGCAGAGGGAGACCAACGGTGGGGTGTTTACAAGAGCATGTTATTAACTCATCTGAAACAAACACAGGTCGTTGTCCTACAAATTGGAACTACCCCCCTCCCCAGGGGTTAACGGCCTCCCTTTTCGTATAACAGCGTGCGTATGATTATGCCCCCCTTTCCATCTTGAGTATGATTTCGTACCACCCCAGCTAAACTGGTATCGACCACCGTCACCCTTTGCAGGAAAGACAAAATGCGCGCACGCGTCGTCGCGAGCGCATGCCGCGTTCTTTTTGAGCAATTTATAGGTTTCGTAAGGATTTCAAAACCGAGCATCCAAACAACATATCTAAACACACACACACGCACACACACACACACACACACTTCGCAACCAGGTTTCTCAAACAAGCTTGCGTTCAACAAGAAAACCACCCATTCTTCAACAGTTTCATCAAATGCTGCAAAGCGGGGGTTGCTCGCGCTTATCCCGAAATCGCGAATTCGTTCGAACGCCCTTTGCGCGCGTGTTATCGCAAGAAACCGTTTTATTCCAAATGGGACGAAGTGCGCGCGCGCGCCGTCGCGCGCGCATGCCGTAATTTTTCAACAACCTTGGGTTGCGTAGGGATTTCAAGAACGGGTGTCCCGAAACCACATTGAAAACAACCTACGCAGTCGCAGCAATAGTTTTCAAACAAGCCTGCGTTCGCGCTTCCGCGAAGCCGTAAGCAAACCATCCGCGTTTTTTCCCCAAGTTCCCAGTGGATTCTGCCAAACGGGCCGCCCGCGCCGCATGCCGAAATCATTCGAACGTCTTTGCGCGCGTGCTGGGGGGCACGGCCCGCGTCAAATAATTCCATTCGGGCCACTCGCGCGTCGGCCGTTCGCGCATGTCAAACTCCTTCCTCAACCCGTATCAGCGACGCGAGGACGCCGTCATCGTCGTCGGCGTGATTCGTATTGACGCCGTCACTGGCCGTGCCGTCGCCGCTGTCAGTCTCGTCGCCGACACCGGTACTATCATCATCGTGTCTACCGTTGTCGACGTTGCCATGACACCGCGCCCGCCCAATTGGCCGACTCGCAGGGAAGTGCCCGCTGGGATGTGCCCAGCGGTCAGCGCCAGTGCGGCCGTGTCGGTCGCGCCAAACTACCTGGCCGCTGCGCGCGCGAGCATGCGCGGGCTAGCGCGGCCGCTAAGATGCACCAGCCAACACCGAACATTCATCGCAACCGCCGCCGCATGGGTGTTGTAAGCCAAGTTGCGGGCTTGTGGGTGTGATGACTGCGCGAACAATGGCGCGCCCGTCCGCGCACTCTGTTCAACGCGTGTTTTGATCGGGGAGTGTGTCTTCCGAACACGCTGGGGGAAATCGCGGGGTGGACGGGGGGGGAGGTATTTTTGCCCTCTTTTCAAAATCTCGGGAAGGACGGGGGACAACCCCCCTCTTTGGGCACCGACGGCGACTTCGCCTGGCGCCGGCAAGCGTTGACGACGACGCGTCCCGCCCGCCAGGCCGACTCGCCCACGGAGACGTCGACGTCGTGTCCCGTCCGCCCGCCCGATTGACGGACTCGCCCACGACGACGTCGACGGGCAACGGCGACGGCGACAACGCCTGGCCCCGGCAAGCGACGACGACGTGTCCCGCCCGATCG